TGAGCCCGGCACCCTCCCTTGGTTTGCCGGTTTCCTCCTCCTCTGAATAGTTTCTGAATTTTATTTTTATTTTTTTTTCAGCCAAACTCAGCATTTCAGAGTTTCAAAGACTCTTAAATTACTGTTTCGCTGAAAAAAAAACACAAAACAAAAAAAAAACAGTAAACCAAGCGCTCCAGTTAAGGGGATGCTGTAGTTTGACTTTATTTGCACTTTTATATCTCCATAGACTACTTGAACTAAGAATGCACCGACTGCAAGGACAGTTTGTGAATACCTTACCTGTATTCACATCGGACTAGTTTAAATGTGGTTTTAAAATGGAGCTACTGCAATATTTCTTTCTAAGCGTTAAACTACTCATTTCTACTGAATCGGCTTTAAAATGCCTTTTAACCAAGCTAGAGTACTATTTAATTTGGTTTCAGTATAATACCACTTTCTCAACTCTGTTAGGCAATGTTCAAGGCTTAAATTTGAACTTATAGATCTATGTTATCATTAATATTGAGCTGAATGTTGTGTAAATTTCTCTTTTTTTTTTTTTTCCCCTTCTAAAAAGGATATAATTAGCTATCATAATATTCTAATTATGTAGATCATCCCACCAAGGTCAGTAATGCTACTTTAGATGGTGTTTCTCATTACTGAAGACTTTAACTTCCTACTAATTACAAGTCCTATAAGGAGTCAAGAGCTATTCTTCATTTTTACACTCTGCCTTTAATGTTCCTTTGGTGTTTTCACAGAGGAGCTAGTTCAGACTTGTACCATATCTGCATCCTTTTTCCAGTGTTAACCTTGCTGTGATAGCTGGCCTCTAGCTGAGAATCTCCTGATAATCTCCTTTTTTTCTTAAGGGGGGGGGTGTGTGTCAAGTGCTCGATGTAATCAAACCCTTCATCATTATGTTAGCTGTATCCCCAGCTGTCAGTCTTTAAAATTTGGTAGCTTCCTTTACTTGGACTATAGGACTATAAGATCTCAAAAATACACTTGGATTTTCTTGAGTTTTCATCCAAAAAAGTCTCTAAAATTGAATGGAGCCTTGCAGTCCTGTGCAATCTTGCCATTACATGTCTTCATTAGGTCAAAGAAAGGCAGTGTAAGGTCCCATGTTGAGTTTTTTGCCTGTGCTTTTTAGAATTGTTACAAAGTGGTTCTGAACACTTAGGAAAAATGAAAATCTTTTCATCAAGTGATCAACCTTCAAATTGAGTAGTCCCATCTAAAACATCTTCAGTAGCTTTCTATTTCTTCCACAGACAGTTGATAGCACCTTCTCTGAGTATCTGATAACCTGATACTTCTAACAGTGTTGAATTGCTTTTTTCCCTTTCAGGCCTAAGTTTCCTGTCTGTTTCTTTGGTTTCTGCTTTCTCCAGTTTGCTACTAAGAGATTCTCTTTTTTGTAGGACCTGTAGCATTGATTCCTAAAACTAGTATTCAAAAACATTCTCATGAAAGGAATGTTGAAACTTTGTTTCAAAATACTGCTCTCTTCATTTTAGCCACAGACTCGCACTTGAGAATATTTGGAATGTTTTCAAAATACTGGAAATACTTCAGGCAGGTCATAGTTAATTGTTTTGTAATCTTCAGCACCTGCCAGCTGGTTTAGGTATGTTTCTATAACAAGAAAAGAGCGGTGCCATCTAAACCTTCTCTGTTTTTTTTTTCTGTCTACTTAGCAATTAACTCTTCTGTTGAGTGTCACTGCTAAGCTTCACCCCTTCCCTAAGGAGCAGGTCTCGGGTCCACCCTGCCAGCGACTGCCTTTCACCAGACCCTTTGGTGATCTGAGCAGAACTGAGACAGCAAAAAGCAAACAATAAATAGCATCTTTTAAACAGCTCAAGGAACTGGCCTGCTGTGAGTCAGTCAGCCCTAACACGAGGGAGGGGATGCACCGACAGTAACTCCAGTGTAGATTATTTTAGGCTAAAGGGGGATCTCTTCCTTAAGAGAAATCCCACTACTATCCATTAAATAACATCCATTGAAACTTCTAACCCAGACTGAGCAAAAAAAGTAGGTCCGTTGAACTCTGTATCAGAAGATAGAGATTTAAATTGTAGGATAATTTCAGTGGTGTACAAAATTGTTATCCCCTAGCTCTAATGTAGCAGGTCAACTCCTAACTAGTTAAGCCAGCAGCTTTTACTTCCCTCCTCCTGGTTCCAGTGCTTATCTGAGCACAAAGTTAGTTTTTTGCCAGATTAGCGAGTTGAACCAACTCAGTTAAAAAGATGCTAATAGATTTCTGCTTGTTCAGTGAGTTTAATAGGCTTAATGGGGTGATCTTGTGAGTGTCAGTAATAAGACAGAGGCAGCAGCTTGTGGCCAGGGTCACTGAGGAGGCAGGGGAAGCAGGTCTTGTCCTTCCCTCACAGTGTCTGCTGGTGAGGATTAGATGCTTCAGAACTTATCATCTCACTTTCAGCAATTTTAATGTTGTAATCTGGAACAAATCAAAGCTCAGTTTCTTATTTCAAGTGAAAGAATATCAGTGTTCTAAAGGGAAATTCAAATTTCTAAAAATTCAAATTTTTAAAATAATTAAGAAATCTATTTCAGCACCGTTTCACTGGCATATATTAATTGTCGATATCTATAGCATGACACCTTCAGGAAGATCATAGTTCTTCTCACCCCTGCTGTCTGTACTTGCAGTGAAAACCTGGCAGATGCAGTGGTAAAAGCCTTTCAGTTAGGAATACAAAAACTAACTTTTATGACTGTAGTGGCAGATGCGCGTGTCCTTGTTTTTCTTTTGTCATGACTACATAGAAATTTAAATATACTACCAAGCCAATAAACCTAAATAGTGTTTCTGTCAGCCAGTGTCTGTGTACTTTAGATACCTGCTGAAAGTAAACATCACCCCTAGCTTCTAGTAGTGTTAAGATTGCTGCTTAACAGAAAGTGATAGTGGTGCTTAGTGGCTCTGTTTCAGCCAGAGTCATTTCAGCTGCAGCTCTACAGCCTACAGGATGTTCCAGATGGGTTGTTATTTGTGCTTGTTAGTTGGTTTACATTTTACTGTGATTATTTTGTTATACAGAGAGAATTGTTAGGTTTATTTTCAAGTGTTAACAATGAGTGCCTCAGTACTGGAGGAAAATGGTTCTAAACATGTTCTTAGCATACAAAAATCCCTAAATGAGTTTGACAGCTAGTTTAGGATCAAATCATAAATTGTTTCACAGAACAAATTTACATCAAGGCAGCTGACTTAAGGTATTTGAATCGCATGGTGGACAGGACCAAAACAGAGTGCTTTGCTGAGAATGGTTGTCAAAAGAAATGCTAGGAAGCAGCATGTAGGTGAGTTTAGAAGGGGTGAGAAAGCAAAGACAAGAAATTGTCTCCTTTTTAAGGAATATGCCTGATGGTTGTGCAATGACATCTTTTGATGCTTCTTCCCCCCCCTCTTTTGTTTTGTTAGGTTGTTGCTCACAGTGAAAGACTTCCTCTCAAAGCTGTTTAAATGAGAATGTCCCTGGCGCAAAGAGTACTACTGACATGGCTTTTTACGTTACTCTTCCTGATCATGCTGGTGCTGAAGTTGGATGAGAAAGCACCATGGAACTGGTTCCTCATTTTCATCCCAGTCTGGATATTTGATACTATTCTTCTAGTTATGTTAATTGTAAAAATGGCTGGACGTTGCAAGTCTGGCTTCGACCCTCGCAATGGCTCCCAAAACATCAAGAAAAAAGCCTGGTATCTCATTGCAATGCTACTTAAATTGGCCTTCTGCCTTGCCCTCTGTGCTAAACTGCAACGATTTACTACGATGAAACTAGCCTATGTATTTATCCCCTTGTGGGCCTTGCTTATTGGGGGTATGGTTGAACTTGGATACAACATCTTCTACGTACGAAGAGACTAAGCTGTACTATGTGGTTTTCAACACTGAGATTAGTACCAAGTTACTGGATTGTTACCGCTTTTCCACAAACTTGATTTCCAAATTAGAGCGCCAAATAAGAAATCAATTGAGCTGGAGACTTTATCTAAGCCAGTCTGAAGACTGAAAGTAGACTTGTTCCATTTTTTATTTTAAAACTGTCACATATGCTCTTGTAAATAAAAGTATTTGTTCAACATAAGCTGTTCTAATATGATTGTTATGTGTTACATGGAATAAGATACAGCTCTTCACATGAAAGTAGAACATCTTCTCAAAGGAACCACAAATATTCTACCCCAGAGTACTCAGCATGTGGGGTAATCCTTGGAAAGAGGACTACTACTTACAGTGTCAGTCAAGAAATAACTGCTTAATAGTAGCTTCTATAGTGTGCTAAGCTTGCTTTAAGAATCAGTAACAATTGATTGCTGACAAATAAGAGAAAAAAAAAAGGAATAAAGTGATTCAGCACTTTCTTTTTGACAGTGAGAATCCACCTCCAGTCTGAAAGACTAAAAATAAGCACTTTTTTTAAGACGCTGAAATAGACAACAATAACCATTATGTTTACCTAGGGAAAAAAGTGAGTAGCTGAACCATGCCAGCAGTCCAAGAGCCAGAGGAGGGGCAGACAATGGTGATTGCTTTCCAAGTGAGAAATCACCAGTGCAGTAGAAGACTGAAGCCACAGGGTGAGTTCTGTAATGCTTTTGTATGTGCAGGGAGTGGTACTTTACAGAGGAAGATGTTTTTTAATACTTCAGCGTATTAAATCTCTGGGACTGAAGCCTTGGCTTTATGGAGTACAGGCAAACTCAGATGTGAGTAAATTAACTTTTTCAAGTAACAAATGCAATGAATGGGACTTCTGGGGAGAGCTGGAATTGTAAGTGTATTTTGTGGACTGAAAGTGCTCTTCCAGGAGCTACAGTAACACCAAATTCAAATGTAAAAGTTGTCTAGGACATTATTAACGTGCATGCTGAAGATACTGATCCATTTACAGTTCCTAGGTACAAAAGAATGTCTAGTGAATGAAAAGAGCCCAGGAAAAAGTCTAAGGTAACAGGAGGGGACTAGATCAAAGTATCTCACAAATAAAATTTTAATTATGTACGTTCAACTGTACTTGTCCATAAAAAAGTAATCTTCCTGATGTGTTTGGATTTACTCATGCTGTTCAGTCACACAGACGTGGGCATAAATACATGGGAACTGTATTGTTGGAGGCTGCTGAAAGGGCTTTATCTAGGAAAAGGTCCTGTTCCATTCTAAGGCAATGGATCTCAATTCAGAACATCAGGTAACAAATGATCTTTAGGAAGAATTTAAGTTATGTTTACTTCAGAGTGGTTGACTGTCCTACCTTGCTAAAGGAGCAACCAAGAAACGACAAGAAAAAGACACAAAAGTAATCTTTCTAATCATTAGCTGTTGTTAAAAAAAGGCAAAGTATTCATAACCCCTTTAGTATACTAAAAATAACGCATGAACTTTTACTAAGCAAATCCATGCACTCAGTATCATGTAATTTATGAGGAGCTGAAACTACCATTTAGAAATCTCTTTTCCCTCAGTGTGTATTGGGAACAGTTTCTTTTGGGAGGTATATCTATGCCCTACTCAATTGTGCAAAATACTTCCTGGAAGGGCCCTGCTCCACTCTGTGTTTGAGAGACTTTTTGCCCACTCATACAGGGTTCCTGTGAACAACTGGCTCCTCCTTCAACATCTTTGGGATTTTTCAAGTGAAAATGGTTAGTATTAGCTGTGGGGAAGGGGAGGAGTGTCCATCTCAGTACATGCTCTTGGGCCTGCTGAATGTAGGAGATGCAAGAGTGAGCATGCACATACACATGCTACATGTAAGTTCATGTGTGTATATACAGCATAGAGAATATGCTTAATTTGTACATCCAATTTAGGTCTCTTACGTTCTCCAGTTCTGTCAAAGGGAAATGAGGGTCACTGAGCTTCCTGGGATGGAATATTCCAGGTATACCGCATAGCAGGCAAGCTAGACCTCATGTCCAATTTTTAGTGGATGCTTTAAAAATTTACAGAGAAGAAAAAGTGTCAAAAGACCTACCTCCAATTAAGGTAAAGTTTTATGAACCACTTAGCAAACATTGATGCAATTACATCTCAAGCATTTGCGCACTTTAGACAAGACAAATATATATGTATACACTCATGGCCATTTGGTACATTATGGCACCAAGCATAAAACTGAGTACCTATAGTCCTTCCTCATCTGATGATTATCACAGAATAAAAGCCAAAAAGCCTTGTTCACACCATGCCAAAAACCCCATCGTGCTGAGAAGAGCAGAGCAGCTTCCCTCAGTCAAGCTGCTGATGCTAACAGATCGTTATAACTTAACACAACAAACGATGGGAGAATAAGAACTAGCCTCATTAGGACTTGGTATATTATTAGCAAGATGGGCACAAATGGTGACTGCCCCCTTAATAAACCCCTGCTATTCCACAGATGTAACAATTATCTGAAAGTTTGGCATCTCTAATTAACTAGAATTGAACACAGTTGTTCCAAATCTCCTTTTAATTGCTGCCTCTAATTCAATAGAAAAAGATCAACATTTCCATGTTTTGGTTGTGGGTTTGGCTTTTTATTTTTTGCCCCTCCCCTCCCCCCCCCTTTTTTTTTTTCCAAAAGGTTTACAAACCTCGAAATAAATGGTGGTGATTTTGAACGCTGAATTTATTTCTGGTGTCCCACAGAAGTCACAGACAAATTGATTTTCTTCCTTTAGCACAAGAGGTTTTTAGGACACAGCCCTTTGGAAGTGCTCAACTTTGGAAGTTCCAGCCCTTACAGAGATACTCTGATAACAGGTGTATCGCTTTTGACATAGTATCAGATTTAACTGACCTAAACTGTGCTGACACTTTTGTACATGCAGTCTCGCTTTTTTGTGGTATCAGAACGTAATCCAAAAAGATTCATGATACAAACTGCACTGTAGCCCACTGTGGCCAGAAGCTGTTACAGGAATTACTGCTATTTAAAATTACCCCGTTCACAGCCTTGAAAGGGAATGAGCTCTCCTCACACCTTTTCTTAAATTTACATACTGATCGACTGATCTTCATTAAATAGAACAAACTGAGTGAAAAGCAGATGTGATGAAGTTGGCAGGGAAAAGGGGAAGTTGATGCCGAAATGGCTCATTCTGATTTGCCACAAACAGGCAGCAGGACACGACGACACACATACCCAGCACAGGAGAGGGCATCTCCTCTCGCGTACCTGCAGCAGCTGATGCGGGGCACAGAGGGGAGAACTCTGCCTTCAGCAGCTTTGTTTTAAAATGCAACTCAAAAGCCTGCTGTTATGAAATGAAACTGAAAGTCTTTGTCTATATACATAATATATTGATGATATGTTGTATATGGAGAGATATATTCTACATCATTTATTTCTCTTCAAATCATTTACACAAGCTCAAACACTTCAGCATGCATTACAGGTGAGTATTTAGTTTTCTCCAATTAAGGAGAATGCACATGTGTGAAAGGTCATGAAACTAAAATTTTCAATTACCTACTCATACTGCTTTTCTTGATTTGTCACCATTTTAGACTAGTATCCATGTTTCTGTTCTTTTTATACTTGAAAAATACAATTACGTGACATTTACATCCCCACCTTCAACAAATTTTAACCTGAATGTATGTAATTTATCAATGTCCCAGAAACTCAGAATTCTAACAACATTAGCTGTAACCTATTTTAACACCACTACATTTTGCGAACAAATAACATTCCTTTTCAGTAATAAAGCTCCTGAATAACTGCATCCTCAGAAATAAGTTCTTTGAATTTATTGGCACAGAAAGCATAGCACTATCATGTAACACATCCCACTTTTTTAATTAAGATTGAGGTAAAAATAACTATGCTGAGTTGGAAAAAGAGTGTTTGTACCTTTTCGTTGTACCTTTATTGTTTTAAGGTTTGGAAGGAGTTAGTCTCCCATACAAGTGCTTTGGGTATCAGCTGGCTGCTGAAAAACGAGGCTTTGTGGACTAAAGCAATTTGAGGAATCATTGCGGTTGGACCACTAAAATACTATTTAATATTAGTTCAACATTTTCTGCCTGTACTTGGAAGGTGGATAAAGAGTAGAGAAATCTACAGCTCAGGAGCGCTATTTCCTTTGGTCTGCCTTTTCTAACAAAACCAACATCACAAGCAGGCAAATGTAAGGAAAGTCTTCATACAGCACAGAACAGCAGCGCAAGAGCAAGAAACAGGGAAGAAATGAGAACCCAAGCTGAGTTTACCTGTGCTAGTTTTTATCCCAGTGTTCCTTTTGAGGTTTATAAAGAAGTCACTGCTAAAAAAATGTCTTTTAGTCTAAAAATTTCATTTCTGAGATTAACAGAAGCTCTCAACTGCATCAATGAGACAGTTATTGCATGCGTAGGATATAGCTTCAGCAGTCTGGACTTACATTACATCAGTCTTCCACACAGAGGTCTAATTCTCAAGGTCGTCTTCTCCTTGAAACACTTTGGGAAGAGCTTTCTCAGCTAACTGCCCTATTTTGTCTCAATACAACCAGACACAAAAAACCCCAACTCTGCCATAAAAAGCATAGTCCTTAAAATACAGGCCTAAGCTCCACCAAACATTGCACTTTCATTCAGGCAGACTGGAAATTAATCGGTAAAAGAAAACATAATATCAAAATAGTTATTGAAAAATCAAACTTGATTAAAATAAACGTTTAAACTGCTGTTTTAATCAATTTTTGTATCAGATTATCATAACTGTACACCAAATATTAAAGGATTATTTTGGACTAATGCCCTTATCAGTAGGCTCATCTATCAGCATGACCAGAACACGAGAAGATCAATGTTTAGCTGGCACTCAAGTACAGCACGCTCCAAAGCAGAGGAAATATTAGCATCATAGCACAGAGAAAAACAGTGGTTAGAATATATTACACTAAATTTGCAAAGTCAGTATCATCCCTGATGATTCTAATAAAAATAGCAACCTAGATACTGTGAAGTGATTCACTGCTTCTGAACAGAACACAAAATAATTTGCATTTCTAAGAAAAATGAAATGACTGACTGATGGGAATCAGTTTCCCAAATTTTCCCATGTCTGCTGGAAATTCAGTGGGATCTGCACAAAATATCAGTATAGCCTAT